TCATCAATGGTGTGCTGGGAGCTCTGGAGCAGGCTGGTTAAGTGTTAAGAAATCACAAACCACCTGTACTTTTTATTTAGTGTAGCTATCACCCTAAAGTTGCTCTAAAAACAAATAATAATATGCAATACACTTTTTTAAAGCTGCACATTTTCAAATGTGTATATATTTAGTCCATGCCCTCCTTTTAGAAAACTTACAGTGTATTTCTACAAGCATTTCTGGGAACATATTTACAACTTGATTTCTGCGATAAATTTCAGTTTCACCACAGACACTTTCATATATGAATTAGTCTACATGGGCATTTCAGAAACACACTTATTTTCTAATTCCTATTGCTATGGTCAGCACCAGAATCTTTTTATTATAATTTATAACAATAATAATAACAACAATAATAATAATTACTATTATTGTTTTGACACAGGGTTTCATTTAGCCCTGGTTGGCCTCCAACTCCCTGCACAGCCAAGGATGTCCTTTAACACCTCAATCGCCTTGCCTCCACCTCCCAAGTGCTAGGACGACAAGCCTGCGCCACCATGCTAAGCCAGAATGAGGCTTAATAAAGCCACCACACATCTTAGACTAGTGACAAGCAGGCTTAAGAACATTCCTTTAAAAAATTATTAATGTTTATAATATATAGCAGTACAAAAATCAAACAAAAAAGATGGAACTGGAGATACAGCTTAAAAGAGTGTCTTCCTGGTCCATTAAGGCCCTGGGTCCAATCCCAGCACAAGAACTATATAACTAAATACAACCCTTTTGAATGGGAGGAGTAAGAGAGCAATGGGAACACTTAGAAGTCAGTCCTACCTGCTTTTGTACTAGTGCAAAAGACTAACTGTGAAAATGCACTATACACACTGTAAATTCTTAACTTACAGTTTTTACCTTATGGCAAAGCAATATACATTCAGTAGAAACAGTACTTTGAATTTTGATCCTTCCTTTGCACTGCTGAGCAGCACCAACTCAGTCCCAAGGTTGTGAGCAGAAATAACATCTTCTCCACAATATACCAGGCTGATAAGCTATGATGCTCAATAGGCTAGCTTAATAAATGTGTTTTGATTGATAACATTTTCAAGATACAGTGAGATTACTGGAGCATAAATCTATCATAAGGAGCATCTGTATCTGCCCTGCCTAAACAACTCATTTATTCAAAATCCTCGTACATCGCTAAGTTTTTTGCGTTTATTTCATGTTTGTGGGCTGGAGGTGAGCCCAGGGGCGTGGGCGTGCTAGGCAACATTCTGGTACTGAGCTCCACCTTCGGCCCTTTAAAAGTCTAAATATCAAACTTTATGTGATAATTCAGAATACGACAGTAACTATGGAGCTAGACATAATGGGACACATCTTTAATCTCAGTGCTCAGGAGTGAAGCTCTGTAAGTTTGAGGTCAGCCCAGTCTATATAATGGATTTCAGTATAAGCAGAGATACTTTGGCCTTAATTTTTTGTGTTAGGTGCGATACACTGCATGATACTGGAAGTTAGGCTTTTGTTACAAAAGAGGGGTGACCAAATATAGAGTAATAGAAAATAGCAGAGAACTTGCACTGCCAATTCAAGATACTCATAAGAGCACATAAAAAAAAAAAAAAAAAAAACCTTTTTCTTCTGTCCACTGAAAGGGACAATCTGGAATGGCAAGAATTATCAATAAATGAGAACATACACTGAATTTGATTTTGAAATACTACTCTACTATACTGGTAATAATAGGATCCTGGGTGGGGAGTGGGAACAGATGATTCCAAGTGGAAACAAGAAAGATAGCAGGTAAGTCTTAGTATTATGTCTTAAGGAAAGACCCAAACACATGCCAAAGATCACAGGGAGCCAGCCATTGGTCAATGGGGCAATATGGGGCAATTTAGCATCAAAAATCCTAATTTGATAGCTAACATAAAATGAACTCAATGGTATATTTAGTAAGCTTTTGTCCCAAAATGTCTGAGAATGTGTGTGTGTGTGTGTGTGTGTGTGTGTGTGTATGTGTGTGTATAAAACCTTACAGGTTTTTACTTATATACTATGGTTTCTGGTTTTGTGTTTTTATCATATTTCTCAGTGTTTGAGTGTTTCTTGTGCTTTATCTTTGGCTATTTTGTTTGTTTGTTTTTTCCTGTTTGCTTCTTTTGTCCTATTCTGGTTTGTTGGGTTTTTTTGAGTTGTCTGTTGGTTTTCTAGTGGAGAAAGACTGGATTTGGGTGGGTGTGGAAGTGAAGAGGATCTTGGAGGATCTGGGGGAGGAGAAGCTGATGAGAATATATTATATGAAAAAAATCTATTTTCAATAAAAAGTAGAAATATAAATAAATTTTTAAAAAGCATAATTTGGGGTTGGAAAGAAACCTCAGCAGTTCAGAACTCTTGTGGCTCTTATAGAGGACAGTTTGGTTCTCAGCATTTACAGAGGCCCATCACAGAACCCTACAACTCCTCTAGCTCAATCAGAGCTGACATCCTCTTCTGGCCTCCACAGATGAACACACACACACACACACACACACACACACTCATACCTACAGACACATAGAAATAAATCTTAAAAAAAACACTTTTTAATAGCAAAAATTAAAGACAGACATAATGATTACATATAGAAAAGAATTATAGGTAATATAGAGAAAATTTTTTTTATCTTTAGTTACACATAATACTCCTTTATAATGGATATTGTCACTTAATCAATCGATAAACTGAGGCATCGATCAAGGTGGGGCAATCCTACTGTACTGTATCCATTACTGAGGTAATATATTTGCTAACTATTTTTAACCTGAGTCGACTCAAATAGAAACAATCATATAAACTCATGTGACATATTCTACAAAACAATTACCCCAGCCTTTCAGGGAAAAGGAGACCTACCCTGAAAAAACATACAAATCCCACAAACAAGTAGGGACATAATACTAAATAAAAAGACAATACTCATACCAACTATAATTGGATATGGGATGATAACAGTAAAATAAAAAACATGCAATGTTTGGGAACAGATGGAGAAAATTAAATAAAAGCTATATACAATGTAATTACTATTAGTATTCTGAAGCGTATAGACAGTCATAAAATAATTTAGAAGACGTATGTCAAAATATAAAGGAATGGAATCCAAAATGTGTGCAATTTCCTATCAAATAGTTCATAAAATATAGAGCAAAAATAGGGCAAGCCGTTAACTTGGAAATACAGATGAAGTATAAAGTACTAATGGCACTCTGAATTTACATGTAAATTTGTAAATTTTAGAATAAAAGCTTTCCAGGGATGGAATCTGAGTTCAAAGATCAGAACCCTGAAGGCTTTTTTGCCTTTTGTTTTTCTAGTGGAATTAGGTATTTCACAGCACCCTGTATTTCTATCTCAGCACTTAACATATTAATTGTTACTTTATAACCTTCTCCACAAACCACTTGGAAGTACAATTTAGTTCCTTACCTGGTATCTACTGGGTATTTAATGCTTGTTGTATGACTGAGGTGAGTTCCATATGATTAAAACAATAATCCATAACTGACACCCATTTATTGACAGCACAGCTCCCTGTACCTCAAATTGAATCAAGGAATCCATTAAATGGACTGTCATAACCCATACCATTATAAATATGTTTACAGCAGCACTTAATTCACAAACTTAATTGTGAATTCTTTCACTTTTAACTTAAGAATATTAAGCATACCTGCTCTGTATCTTTAATGTCCTTGGAATTGGAAGTTTGGTTTTCTCCCATGACTCCAGGCTGCTCATTTTCCCATGGTAATTTATTTTTCCCCTTTCCAGCACTTAAAACCCTTCGGGTACAGATGGTTGGACTGTAGGATCCATACAGTTGCATGCTGTCCCTGGTGTGGTCACCACAGTAGCAGTGTGCACTCTGAGTCCTGTTACCAGACATAAGCCAGTCTGTATCTGCTCCATGTGCCAAATGGCTTGACCTGCCCTGGGCAGAAGACGGCATGAGTATTGCATACTCCACAAACCCCTGTTCTGTTAGCCGTGGAAGAGTTTTTCTGGCCAATCGGGCCTGCACAGCATTCATCACTCCATCACCATTATCCTGCAATTCAACAGTATCTACAGCCTTAAAAAGAACATTGGTTTTACCTGAGCCCATTGATGATGCCAAAACAGCAAAGGCTTCTAGAGCTGCCTGCCTTACCCTGCGTTTGCTATCCACAAGAGCTGGAGCAAGATCAAAGGACAGTTTGGATAAGTCAAAATCCTCACTGGGGTAGGTCAGGAGGGAACAGATGCAAATGTTCACTACTTCCTCCCGTACTCTGGAATGCTTATGTTTAAGGTTTTCCAGGAGCAAAGAAAGAACCTGCTGAGGACCTACTTCTTTCATTAGCTTTAGAAAGATTTTCATGTATTCCTGCTTGATCACCAACTTGTTGTCTGCCAGCACTTTCACAGAAGCTGCTATAACTGGTCCCAAGAACTGTTGCACCTGCTCTCCCAGGCGAATGACCAGTAAATGGAGAACTTGAAGGGTGCCATGGACTACTTTGAAATTGGAATCGTCTAGCAAGTTATACAATAAGCTAATGAAACCAACAAGACTAGAATGAGGGGTAGAACTTGGGTTAAATTTCCCCAGCAACTGTTTTAGTTCTTCAACAGCCTGAGTCCTGTTTTTATAGTCTTCCTGATCCAACAATCTTGCATGCAGTTCCTGAGGGATAATCCCAAATTTAAGATTGCTACTGGAAAGATTCACTACACATGGGGCAGCATCTTCAGAAAACCCAGAGGCTTCTAGCTCCAAATAATAAGGAACCTGACTTCCATACTGGGACTCCAGGCGGCGATTGTAGTGCCTCCTCAGCGCAGAGGGCAAACGAGAGATGTAGGAGTGAAACCTCTCTTGACCAAGTCGCTCTCCAATTTGTTGAAGTGTCGAGAATGCTGTCTCAGATTCTTCTTCCATCTCCTGATCGCCAAGCTTTCGGGCGAGAGATATTATTACTTCGGTGAGATCCAAGCCCAGCAACAAATCCTCAGGTGTAAGCAAGATGGGGAGCAACAGCGCAGTGGAAGCTCTAAGCCGGGCATCTGGACTTTCCAGGCCTTGTATAAGAGTTCTCAGGACCTGCCCAGAACTACGCCTCAGACAAATGTGCAGGATCTGCAGCGCATCTTTCCGTAGGGCAGGGTTATCTTCTCGTAAGGAGACAACGAGTTGAGGCAAAAGCGCTAAACTAAAGGCCTCTTCCAGCTGACCCGCCTCGCCCTGACCCCGGAGAACGTCCGAGAGAAGCTGCAAGCAGAGCCTCTTCTCATCACTACCGCCTTCCACAAGTACTCGGCCCAGCGCCCGATATAAGGCTTCCTTGCGGCGGGGAAAGCCAAGCCGGCCGCCCCGCCGCGGCAAGGCAGCCTGCAAAGCCTGGAAAGCCTCGGAAGGATCTGGTGCGGCGCGCAGGAGTTGAAGAAGCCGAGTCTCCTCTTCATCTCCGCCCGACAGCCCACTTCCAGGACCGGACCAGCTAGTTGAAACAGCCTCCGCCGGTAACAGGAGGGTCGAGGCCAGAGGCGAGGGTGTCGCGGGGCAGGAGCCATGATCCCCGGCAGCCCCACGGCAGTAGTAGTTTTTCTCGCCTCTCATCGTGCCCCCAGATCGACGACCATCAGTCCCTGGGGCAGAAGGACGACAGCGCCTCAGGAGGCGATAGGAACCAGGGGTTGCAAGAGGCGGCAGCGGGAGCGGCTCCGAAGGCGCGGCCGCCATGGAGGGTGGTCAGGTAGCGAGAGCTGGACGGAAACATTGCCGAGGGGAGGGCTGGATGAAGCCCAGCCTTCCAGCTCCTCTCCAAGCCCTGAGCTGCGGAGGAAGAGAAGGAACGGCTCCGGCCAGCTGCCAGGCTGCTCCGGCCTTCAACTCCCGGAGCCAGCCTCCGGCAAAATGGCCCCCGCTGAGCCTGGGACCCCACAGCCACCACCCGGCGTAACCAGGGCCACCACGTGACCAAACCGAGCGCTTCCATGGTGATGCACCCAGAGCGGACCTCTTGACCCGGAAATTAATCCACCGCGGTGGATGCTGGGTCATGTAGTCCACGTAGGGAGTTAAGCATAAGCAGATAATTCCTGGAAGAGGAAGTCTGAACCTAGCTAGAATGGAGAGGCGGGGTCAAGGCCTTCAACGGAAATGACGCTACACTGTCCTGGGCGGAAGTTTTCCGCCCCACCCGTAAGAGTTGAGGTTTGACCGGAGCAAGAGAGGATCCTATCCCGGGTTCCAGTTTTCCTTGGCTCCTCCTCCTGTTGCTGCAGGTGTTATTCCTGGGACTCAGGTATTTTCCTTTTGCTATTATATAGGGGTGCAGGCTTTTTTGGAGTGTCGCCCGAGTGCTCCATGAGCCAGAGTGCGAGGTAAAGGACTGGACCGGAGCTGCCAGAGACGACATGTTCTGCACAGTGTTGGTTACCATTGTAAACGTTTTACTCACTGCTCTCCTGAGTGAGATTCTTTCTTCCTGCAGACTGCTTAGCAGTATAGGAGAACCCAACCAAGGCCAAGCTCACAGAGTACTTTTTGGTTTTTAAACTTCCTTGTCGTTGGGGACCTTCCTCGCCCCGCCCTCTTCTCCCTTACCTCCTTTTCCTCTCTTCACCCTCTGGCTATGGAGTGTTCAAGACTTCTGTCACTTTTCATTGTCCACATCACCAAGTTTTCTTATAGTTATGTAGAACCAGTGTTTTCCCCTTTGCATTAAACGGAGTGCTTAAAACCTTTCTCATGTAGCTCCTCTGTGGGACTTTTCCTTTCGCCCCACCTCCACCTCCAATTTCCCCTAGGACACTCCAGTCTCTGCAGGCTTTCAGTCTCCTGGAGACGGAGATCGCTAGACAATTTCAGTTATGGTGCAAGTTCTTGACATTGCAGTCCTAAGAGAATTCTGCCCAGAGGATTTAGGTTGATAGACATTATTTTAAGCAAACTGAGAATTTGATGGCTGATGAGTGTTTTCTCTTTGTAAAAGAACTGTAAATAGAATCAATTCAACTAAGAGTATCTCCTGTAAGACCAAACCGCTTTGGGGTATGAAAGAGCAACTTTTGTGTCTATATTTGAAACATAATTGCTCAGTGACTGTGTAGCCCAAGCTGGCCTTGAACTCTTGACCCCCTATCTCAACCTTCTGAATGTTGAGATTACCAGCATGCACTGTCAAACCAAGCTTGAAAACAGATTTGTTGTTGTTTTGTCAGACTTTTAAAAGAAATAATACAATTAACTCTTCAGCGAGAAAAGATTGATTTATAGTTTGAAGTTCCAAGCTTATATTCTTCAAAAGCAAGTATTTCTGTCCTTCTTTGTATCAAACGTGATATCTCTCTGTTTTGTTTGTTTGTTTGTTTGAGACAGGGTTTTTCTGTGTAGTCCTGATAGTTCTGAACTCCCTCTGTAGGCCAGGGTGATGTCGAGTTTAGGAATCCGCCTGCCTCTGCCTCCCAAGGGTTGGGGTTAAAACCCTGTGCCACCATATCCAGCTATATTACTTTTTGAAATCGTGGAATAATTGAGTCACATGTGTCAAAGTGCTTTATAACAATAATTAATACTCCTAATGATGCAAATTGAAATTGTATTTATTAGTTTTTATTATAGCACAATTAAAATATATTCTTCTTTTTTTTTAATCTTGGAAAAAGAGCATTAATATAAATGAGGCTGTATAACCATGTATCCTGTGCTTTGGTTTAAAGCCTTCATGGTTTCTTCACTTTCTTTTGTTCTGTGGTTTGCTGCTGTTGTTCTGTCTTGTTTCACTGTCCTGGACATTGAACACAGGGGCTTTGTTCTTGCTAGGAAGAGTTCTGCCACTGAGTGTATTCCACAACCTTCATTTGCCATTTTGATGTATAAGTGGATCTTCCTCAGTTTGGTTTAGCAGATGTATTTTAGTAGGAAAAAAAATAACAAAAGTGCCGCTCTCCCCACCCACTTTCTATTTTTAGAGTGAGGAAGGATGGAAATGGAAAAGAAGAGATGATTATAGTGCCTGTCAGTGAGAAATAATGGCTGCCGGATGGCTGGGTGTAGGTCTTACAGAGCACTTGCCTAACATATGCAAGGTTCTGAATTACACCTACACTTCTACAAGGAGAGGTGGGCAGCTAGCCAGATTCCCATATCCAACCTAAAAAGCTTCAATGTATACTTCTTTTCATATGTGCTGAGACTATAGGAACCCAATCCACATGAAAGGGAACAGGAGAATGATGCATGCAGTAGAATGTCCACATTAGAATGCCAGTTTATGTTGGAACAGAAGCTAGTTCTTTCTAGTGATAGGAATTTTCAGATTGAAAAACCCAGCAAACTCTTCATGTATCTAAGAACTTAGGAAGCCAAGTTACTAACCAGACTGAGGTTGTGTTGCAATCAGTATCAAAGAAAAGGAACTTAGAAAGTCTTGAATGATGTTTCATTATTGGTTATGGCATAAATATAAGAAACTTTCCTTTCCCGCTACAAAGAACACTACTGAAGGGGCCTGGACCCATAAATCAAGCAGTTGTCCTGTTATTTTCCTGCAAGCAAAACAAAATGAGTCCTTCTTTCTCTCAGGTTCCTGTAGCTCAATGTGTGTTACAGATTGTAATTTATTTATGTCTATTACATTATGGCTTGTAGAAAGCTTGGAAAATGCATTAGTTTCATTGTGGCTGCTTGAGAAATTAGACTCACTGTCACATGTCTTAGTACCTTTTAAGATGATCTTATAGAACATAAATCTTATTTAACATATTTTATTATGTCTATTAAAAGTACTTAAGTTTCTTTTAATCTTATTTTTGAGGTCTAGGAGTCCTTTCTGTATTTACTAGAAAAGCATTTGTATGTAGTAATAGAGTTAGGAAAAAACAGAGTTTTCTCTTCCTTTGATTTTTCAAGACAGAGTTTCTCTGTGTAGCCTTCCTAGCCAGAAACTCACTCTGTAGACCAGGCTGGCCTCAAACTCAGAGATCTTCCTGCTTCTGCCTCCCAAATGCTAGGAATAAAGGCATTTGCTTAAAAAAAAATAGTTTAATAAGATAATAGGAGCGTACTTTTTGTTGTATTGTAAAAGTAACCTCAGAAATTTGAGAGGAAATAGTTAGGCCTATACTAAAAGTTGCAAACTTGAGTGCAGCAAGTTTTAATGATTTCAAAATAATTTAAACAAAGTTAGCAGATTACAGGAAGGTCTATGCTGCCCACCTTCACTCTTTGATCTGTATTTAAGTAGCATAAACACAGTTGTTCTAGATGTGTGTTTTATTTCCAGAGTCAGAGATAATGAATTTGTTGGATGAATCACTTTATATCTTCGTGTGTTCTTACTTAAGCTTTACAGGTATATCTGAAATATTGGAAATGAAAATAAATCCTGTAAACTATAAAAACCTGTACAGCTTAAGAAGTTGTCATTAGTGAGTACAGTGGAGATGAGATGTTATGACTATGAAGCACCAAGTGTAATCTGCTTCTTGTGTGTTATCTGCCAAGTACTGTGCTGCTAGCTACTTCGTAAATACTAATTCACCTAATCCTCTCCACAACCACTAGAGGTTCTGTGTTCTTCCTTTGTATTATATAGACTTTAAGGATCAGAGGAAGAAAGTAAAACTCAAATTAGTTTAACTATTTGCTTAGAGCTTTTAGAAGTTTGGTGAAAAGGGGAAGGGTGCTAAAACTATCAGATAAAATTTGATTTTTTTTCTATTAATCTTTATATTTTATGTATTATTTGATTATATATTTTAATCTATTCTTTTTCTGTGTCTGTTCTGAATCTTAGTAGTTGTGTCAGAGCTTTAATAAAGTTAAATTTTTAGCTTTTATCATATTTTGTTTTGTTTTTGTTAATTGTGTTTTGAGACAGGGTCTCTCTATATAGCCCTTGCTTTCTGCTGCATAGTTCCAAAACCAAGATATAAGGATTCATGTTAGTGACATGAAGCTAATTTTATCTCTAGATATAATAAAAATAATTGTCAGAAAAAAATGCAATTTTTCAACTTTATTCTATAGATACATACTGGTAAAAATATATATTATAATTGGTTGAATTCTACTATAAGGAAAGCTGAACTGTGGGAGAGAATTTAATGACAGCAGTTATGATAAAAATCCGATTTGTTAAATTACATTGGATTTTTTTTATGCAGCTCATCTTTCCTATTTCTGTGCTGTGACTGTGATCTCTATTTATATGGTGACAGTTAATTGCCTCCCAGCTGATTTCAGCACCACTTCTCTGTAGCTTAGGTGTCAATTAAGTAGATAGATACTAACGTGCAACCTGATCTTTATTATCTCGGTTATAACAACCTGAAATGATGAGGTCTTCTTTTAACATATTATGGGTATTGGTACAACATGAATATAATTAGAAATGAAGTACAGTGCTGTTGCCTTGTTGAAAATTTGACATTGATACTGTTTGTTCAGATTTGACTAATTTAGTTCATAGATACATAGTACTCATTCGATATTTGTTTTATTTTAACAAAAGTTCTAAAAAAAAATATGGCTATCATGTAGAGGCAGCTCAGCCTATCAGATGTACTATTAACACCATCAATGAAGGGAGTTATCATTATCAGATTCCTCTTCTGTTTGTCTTAATGTACTGATGTACTGCTTATGTGATCTGGGCATTTACATGTGTGTATATTTATCATTTATTCTTTATAGGCTTACATTTTTAGAATTGTTTGAGACAGGATTTCGTCTTATACCCAGGTTGATCTGGAACTCACTATAAATCCTCCTGGCTCAGCCACCTAAGTGCTTGGATTGCAGGCATGGGCCACCAGTCTCAGCTTGATACCACATTTAATATATACAGATATTAAATTACCATATGCCCAAGGTCATAGAGCAGTTGAGTAGATTTAGCTAACTGTGGACTTGACTCAGACTTCTCTGGCTCTAGTTCGTATCCTGTTTCTTTTTCTTTCCTGTTTCC